TGGTTTACTCTTCGGTGTATTAAAAAATGTGTACAACTTTTTCACGATGGCTAAAGTATGTCTTATTGGCGGTATTACACTAGCTTTGGATATGGCCAAATTAAGCACGTGTGCTGAGCAATGCACATAGCAAGCAAAAGGATCCTCCTCTTGAACGTATTTTTGCACGCCGTTAAACTGGCCTGACATATTCTTTGCCCCATCATAACCTTGACCAAAAAGATATTGACAATCGATATTACATTCTTTTTATAGTGTATTTAGAATTATCAAAGCTAAATCTTTTCCACGAAGCGATTTCGAACACAACAAAACGAAGGAAGTCTTCTCTCAAACTTATTTCCCCACGATGAGTCTCATCAACATATCGGAGACAGATCGAGACCTAAAGTATTCAAATAACATTATTTATATTAAACACATTCCTAGTTGTCTACACTATCCTTTTAACCGTCTCATGATCATAATATAATAGTCAAAAAGGACATTATCAGAGTTATCTAATTCAGCTTTAATATACACTCACTCATTTATATCTGCGTACACAGACATAGAAATGTGCGTAATGGACTGCAAAAATAGGCATTTTAAGAACCACATATGTATTTTTATAAATAGTATTTTTAATGTACTTCATTGAATTATTAGAGTAAAATCATAGTAAAATAACACAATATACAAGCTGTACTTGTCTTTAAAAAAAGGACATACACTAAATTAAAATAAAAAAAAAAAACAATATTCCAATTACGAAGGGAAAAAACACTGAAATATAGCTATTCGGACCTACATACATACTTATGTACGAAATAATAGTGCGATTCATAAAACGGCAAAGTGGCGTTAGAGATAAAGAAAATTTTTTACAATTATATTTCGATGCAGGCTTAACTGATATACTTTTTCTTGAAGCATTCGAAGACAATAAAAAAACATGTGTCTCGCGACTTTGACTTTGCAATGATTGTCAGCTCAAATAATATGGCAATGTAGCAATTTTGTCGCAAGAAAGTTTCCATACAAAAATAATCAGCTGTGTCGCAAGGTGGCAAATTTTGCAACAAATGCGACATTTGCAACAACTTTGCGACGTTTCATGAATCCCACTAATAGTAGTGTGACATTTTGACCAGTTTTGACTATTCTTCTTTACATTGAATAATTTTTATTAATTTTATATAATGGGCCTTATTTTAATTTATAAGAGAATTTAATTTTAACTTTTCGAATCTATGAGTAATATATGATTGTTATATACTGGCTAAATTTCTATAATTTATGATTGTGCCAAAACTGAATGAATTGTGCCAAAAAGGCCCTTGTGAATGAAAATGCCAAAAATGGCACTATTGTGCCTACTTTTCCAGCACTGGATTACACGATACGAGACTCAGCATCCAGCCAATCAGAGCATCCCATGATTTTGTGCTCTAATTTGGCAGCACTAACACACCATGGGGAGCTAAGCAAAATGGTGAGATTCCAGTCGCTACGCGAAAAAAGGCACCGTTTTCGATCAAGGGATTTTTAGTTTTGTGTTTACAAAAAATGCTACAAGACTGCGTTTATTATGTAAAAAAAAAGTTTTTAATCGCGACCTAAGGATTTTATAACGCTAAAACATAGAGAAAATATATACAATTTTATAAATTTTGCGTCTTTCGCGTAACCAAAACTGACACCATAAATTCATCAATAAATGCAGTACTTAGCACTATTTTTTGCCAAATTCACACTGGCAGTTTATTATACTCAAAATTTGTACAAAGTTTGAAATTTGAACATGCTTGTTTTTATTAGGTAATCGGCATACTTTTATAAAAAAACGTGTTAAAATGTCTCGTAGCTATCTATTTTTTCACCTCTGTGTGCTCTGATTAAATTAATGAGCTTGCTCCTATTATTTTCAGACCGTGTGAATTCGGATTTTTATGGACGGGAGAGAGAAGGGAGGAGAGTTTTAGCGTATTAATCTCAAACCGGGAAAATTACGGTATTATTTTGGTCTGATATTATACCTCGAAACCAGTTTTATCACCTGAAAAGCCTAGTGTGTTTCGCAAAAGGTCTGAAAAGACTAGTATAGGCTCAATATTCAAATTCATAATCCATCAACCGATAATTTTATATATTCATTAAAGATAATTTGTCATCCGTCTGAAATAAAAAAAAATTAAATCAGGATACAATAGTATCGTGTTATTAATTCAAAAGTAAAAAATTTTAGTTCAATGTCGAAGGGGGGGATGTATCCCCCAATTTTCCCCCCTGGCTACGCCACTGGTTGACCATTGACCTCGGAATTCACGACTGGGAATTTATTTTTGACGAATCGAAACAGTTTGGCTCTTTTTATGAATACTTGGAGTTTAAAATACTATTTCATTTAGGTCTCTATTAATTTTCGACCGCTAGATATTTGCTTTTATATATAATTTTTTTTTAGTTGCACTTTGACCTTGGATTCAAGGTCGAGAAACTGTTTTTGAAGAATCTGAATAATTTACCCGAATTCATTAATATTTGGGCTTTATAATGCCGTTAGGTTATGTCGCTATCTGGTTTGGATCGGGAGATATTTCACTTTGTCCATTTTTTCCCAAAACAGAACACAGTGCGCCGCTTTGACCGTATGTATAATTTTGTAGCAAAAACAAGTTGAAACCGAAACTTCGATGAAAGTGGTCAGAAAATTCGTGTGTGAAAGTTTTAATATTTCAAAAAATCAAAATAAATAATTCTGAACGTCAAAGTGACCTAAAAAAATTTATGGCGAGTAGCTTTTATTATTAACTGTACAATTCAAGTATTTTTCGGTTCAAAAAAGTATAGTAAGCCAGCGCAGTGACTCAAACTACGAAGTCCGCCTAAAGTGAAAAGTGTATTATGGCGTTTCTTCAGTTTTGAATTTTTGCGTTTTAGTTTTGTAAAGTTATTTCAAGTGTGAATGAGTTGGAACGTTACAATAATTATATATAAATATTCTAGCCATAGCAATCCATAAAAAATTTTCAAAATATCGGCGACGTCAGATGAAGATATAAGAAAATTAAGAGAAGCGGTGCCCTATGATAACGAAAGTTCCGATAATGAGAAAGAAGGTGCTTTCGACAGCGATGAAAGCGTCATAGACGAGACAGCCGGGTTTACATACCGAAATGACTCGGGTTTTACCCGATCAATGGTTGTTGTTTCGGCCATCTAACCCTATTTGGGTCGGCGAAATTTCTTAAACGTTCTTCGTCCACATCTCCTCCGCACTCTTCTGCTCAGGGCTGCCATCGAGCCAAACCCTGGGCCGGAACCTACGACTGCTGCGCTTCCCAGAAACGATTACTCCCAAAGTCCACCTCAGTCAAGTGTAACTCTTGCGACGGGCGGAGTCACTTTCGAACTTGGTCAGCTTTCAGCACTCATAGACAATGGACCGCGTCATACGTGACCCTGTGCTGGTCAAACCGAGCTGCCTCTACGGCAAACTAGAGTCCGCCTGAGCAACTCTACACAAACGCGACCACAGACACAGCGGCATAGAATATTAATAGCTGCTGTCCAAAAGACGCAGCTGCACAGCAATTCAACACTCTTTGGCATTCAAGCCTGTCAAATGAACGGTGACGAACCCACCAGGTGACATAACAATTGTAAGCGGTAATCTGATAAACAGCATAACGTGGCAACCTTTGCTGATTCTAGCATCAGACAATCTGCCCATAGTCATCTCGATTGATAAACCTGCCGACTTTGCTTCCGCGGAATACCGAACCTACATCAAAGCTGATGGGAGCGGCTTCGCGAAAGTTACTGAAAGCACCTTTTCTGCCCTCCCCACACCAAATGACGCTACAGCCTGCTTCATTCAAGTTGGATGTATTTCGGACCCCGTCCGAATTTTCGTGCCGAAGCGGCTGTCCTAGCTGATGAGCGTGACAACATTCGTCAGGCCACACCCGAAAATCCCCGCATTAGGGATCTCAGCGCGGAGATTCCGCAACTTCTGAACGAACATAAGTGGAAGCAGTGGGAAGAGCATCTGAAGACTTGTAACTTCACCTCTGATGTGAGCAAGCTTTGGTCAACCGTGAGATCACTGTCCAAACTGACGAAGCGAAGTGATGACAGAGTTCAAATCTCTTTTGGCGACCGCGCTTCGTCGGAGCCGGAGCAATGCGCGAGCTACTTTAGCCGAAAGTTTATACTGCATTCTCCGGCGGACAAAGCCAAACGTCGAGTTACCAGAAGACTGTACAAACCGCCAACACCTAGTGCGACTCTTGCCGTAACCAGCGGTGAAGTTCATATAGCAATCGTTTTCTTGAAATTTTATTTAAAAAAAAAAATCAAATTGAATACAATTCCAAAACAAAAAATTTTCAAAATTGTATATCTGTAATGCATAGGCCCGCCTTAAGGCGGACTATATATTATATCCCCTAGAGGGTAAATTTGACTTCAAAATGATTTTCTGACATAAAAGCTATGTTGGTTGATATTAAATTTATAACTTCTAAATTTATCTTCTCAAAATAAAATGCATGTATTAGAGGGTTAATATATATTTCGAAATCAGTGATAACGAAAACCCTTAAATACCAACTTCCAATGAAATCTGTCAAATACATATTGAGTAAAAATTTAGTTCGTCCTATATTCTCGATTCGTCCATGATAAATTTAAAGTGCGATGTCATAGGTAGATTTTCGCCAAAATTTTGATATTTTTGTGCGCTTGTAAGCGGTAGATTTTCCCGCTAAATAACTGTAAGTGATCAATTTTTGACATCGCCCAATGTTAATTTATAACCACTCAAAAGGCCAACGACGATAAAGTAAGATTATTTTTAATTTTTTTATTACACAATGTTAGCCCTCCTGACACCAAAAGGTTCTACGGTGCGATGTAAGTGTTGTTGTTCGTTAATCTGCAGCAGTAAATTTAAGTCCCCGATATAAGATAGACCTTCAAGTAATTGATAAGATTGAAAGCAGTGGTTTACTTACTGTTCTTGAGTTTGAATAACCAAAAATCCTGTATTAGATAAAGGCTCCGCTTCCTTCGTTAAAACTTCATAATCACATTCGTCCTCATACCAATTTGGGGATTCTAGTAGCATCGTAATGTCTAATTCTTGAACTTCTCGCGGACTCGCCAATGCAATCATTCCAGAAGAATTATTATTCAAGCAAAATGATAATAAAGCTTCGTGATCCTTGTGAATTACTCGTATATGATCAGACTCATAGCTCTCATTTACCGACCCTAAGAAAAAGAGAAGTTAAAAGATTGAAAATTTTCATGGCAAAGCGTTTTTAAATCTATTTCTTAATGCAATGTTTTACAAAAAACTCGAGTACACTTTTTTAAAGGTCTTCGAGGTGCTGAATCCACTGCTCTGGCAGCTACGGTTTCCGAGGTATTTTAGCCTAAAAGTGCAAAAAACCGAATTTGGCTGATATTTGAGGTTATATAACATCGAGATTTTTGAAGCAAACCTTCCNGCTACGGTTTCCGAGGTATTTTAGCCTAAAAGTGCAAAAAACCGAATTTGACTGATATTTGAGGTTATATAACATCGAGATTTTTGAAGCAAACCTTCCTTAGCGGTGGTTGGTTAGTTGGGAGTAAATTGGCAAATTCAACGGAAATTGCACACGGAAATGGTTGGGAGGGAAACAAGTGCTTCTTAAATGTATGCACATGGTATTCATTTAACAAAACCGTGCTAATAAAAGGTTAAAAACTAAGACCTAGATAAAGGCCAATACAAGATGAAAGTAAATGTGAATACATGCAAAGATAAAGAAAAGGATCAAGGCAAAAGTAAAAATAATAAAAGATGCGTAAAGATAAAGGCCAAAATGAAGACCTAGGTAAATTTAAACACTTTACTTATGTACATAAGGGCAAAGGTGAAGGTGTAGATAAAAACTAATAAACATGAATGATATTAGAAAAAATGGGGACGAGGATACCGATAAAAGTAAGGATGAAGATAGGGGAAGAAAGATTAATACAAAGGTAATTATAAAGAAAAGGATATATGTAGACAGAGACTCAATCAGGGAACTATTTCGCGATTTTAGAGATTTTCGGTTTACTCGGAACTTATCGATATAAAAATTGATTTTTTTTACCGATTTTGTTCTCAATATTTTTATCGATTTTATTATCGCAATTTTTCGAGTTTGTTATCTATATTTATCGATTATGTTATTGATATTTTTATAGATTTTTTATCGATTTTGTTATCGGTATTTTTATAGATATTTTTATCAGGGACCGTAACCGTTATGATTTTTATACTAAAAATCAAAATTTAATCGTTATGTTGTGATTTGTATTTTTTCGATCATTTTTAATCGTTATTTTATGATTTTTTTTTCGATCATTTTTAATCGTTATTTTGTGATTTTTATTTTTGCGATTATCTTTAATCGTTATATTATGATTTTTGTTTTTTCGATCATTTTTAATGNTTTTCGATCATTTTTAATCGTTATTTTATGATTTTTTTTTCGATCATTTTTAATCGTTATTTTGTGATTTTTATTTTTGCGATTATCTTTAATCGTTATATTATGATTTTTGTTTTTTCGATCATTTTTAATGATGATTTTAATTTTTTCGATCAAAAATAGCAGTTATTCTTAGTTTTTTAATGTGTAAACCGAATGTGCACAGATTTGACTTAAAAAACAGTTTTACAAGGCATGCATATGTACACTTGGATGGTCCAAAAACAGTAAAGTCGGAATTGTAATGCTGTCACCCCCTAGGATTGTTCTATATCGAAAAATGTATACCCCTNGCACAGATTTGACTTAAAAAACAGTTTTACAAGGCATGCATATGTACACTTGGATGGTCCAAAAACAGTAAAGTCGGAATTGTAATGCTGTCACCCCCTAGGATTGTTCTATATCGAAAAATGTATACCCCTATTTTTATACCTTTGATGAGCATGAAATGGTATTATAACTTTGGTCCGATGTCCGTACTGAACAATCAGTTGTATGGAGGCTATAGGTTATAGCAACCCGATCTTCGCCATTTTTGTCGTAATTATTCTTTTGATAATAGGTGGACATCTCGCGAAATTGCATGTGCCTATCTACATAAATGGAGGAGTTATAACGAAAATTCTCATAACTGAACAATCAGTTGTATGGAGGCTATAGGTTATAGCAACCCGATCTTCGCCATTTTTGTCGTAATTATTCTTTTGATAATAGGTGGACATCTCGCGAAATTGCATGTGCCTATCTACATAAATGGAGGAGTTATAACGAAAAATCTTATATCTGAACAATCAGTTATATGGAGGCTATATGTTATAGCCACCCGATCTTCGCCATTTTCACTGTAAGTATTGTTTTCATAATGAGTGAAAACAGTGTAAAATTTCATGTTCCTACCTGTNGTTGTATGGGAGATATATGTTATAGTGACCCGATCTTTGTTATTATTCTGTTAATAATGAGTGAAAACGGTGCGAAATTTCATATTTCTAGCTGCATAAATGGAGAAGTTATAACAAAAAATCTCATATCTGAACAATCAGTTATATGGAGGCTATATGTTATAGCCACCCGATCTTCGCCATTTTCACTGTAAGTATTGTTTTCATAATGAGTGAAAACAGTGTAAAATTTCATGTTCCTATCTGTGTACATAAATGGAGGAGTTATAACGAAAAATCTTATATCTGAACAATCAGTTACATGGGAGCTATAGATTATAGTGACCGATCTTTGTAATTTTCACTGTAAGTATTCTGTTGATAATGGGCGGAAGTATTGCAAAATTGCATGTTCCTAACTGCTTAAATGGAGGAGTTATAGCGAAAAATCTCATATCTGAAGAAGCAGTTGTATGGGAGCTATATGTTATAGTGGCCCGATTCTTCCGGTTCCGACAAATGATTAGTGCATTATAAAAATACACCCACCTAACAAATTTCATCCGGATATCTCGAAAACTGAGAGACTATATTGCATACAAACAGACGGACAGATGGGCATGGCTAAATCGACTAAGCTCGACGTTCTGATCATATAAGTATACATTTCTATATCTTCTAATTGTAGTACTTACAAACATGGGTCCAAAGTTATAATACCATTTCATGGTCATAAAAGGTATAAAAGTAGGGGTATACTTTTTTCGATATAGAACAATCCTAGGGGGGGAGAGCATTACAATTCTGTGTACATAAGCATGCCTTGTAAAACTTTTTTTTAAGTCAAATCTGTGCACATTCACGTTACACATTAAAAAACTAAGAATAACTTCTATTTTTGATCGAAAAAATTAAAATCATAGTATAACGATTAAAAATGATCGAAAAAATAAAAATCATAGTATAACGATTAGAAATGATCAAAAAAATAAAAATCATAAAGTAAATAGTATAATTAAAAATGATCGAAAAAATAAAAATCATAACATAACGATTAAAGATGATCGAAACAAGTAAGAAAGTCTAAGTTCGGGCGGAGCCGAACATTAAATACCCGGCGCAAGTATTAAATATATGTTTTCCACCTTTCCAAAAGCTACCGCTACATGATAAGCCGGGGTGTATAAATTCTAAGTAAATTAGCGTCCTTAAATTTCAAAATATTGAAATTTCAAGCATTTCTGAAATTTACCGTTATATGAAAAGCGGCCGTAATTTTAGTCCGATTTCAACAATTTTCAACGGTATGCTTTTATGTGGCAAGCACAATAACCGTACTGAGTTTGGTACAAATTGGTACAACCGTTACCGAGATACCTATATGTGATCATAAGTGGGCGGTGCCACGCCCATTTTCCAAAATTTTACCATAAGCGTATTTCTTTGTTAAGAATTGTTGCAACCATCAATTTTGAAAAAAGTAGATTTAATATTTACTGATTTATCGAGGATTTCGTATTTTTCTAAATTACCGTTATATGGGATG